TATTTACATTAATTGATATTTTAATACGGATGGAAGTTACATAGATTCAAATAAATTAAAATCAATGATAAATGCTAAATATTTTAGCTAAATAGTTTTTCAAGAAACAGTTATGAAAATGTATATTAAATGGCTCTAACATGGAGCTTGTGGTATTTCAACTCAGTATTCTTTGTTTTATGTGTCTGGAAAGATTGTACTTACTTTGTCTCTTTACACTACAATTTGCTATTTTGGGGCTCTAGACTGTGTCCAATGGAATAAGAACTTTTTTTCTGAATTTCGATTGAATATAATTTAGTATTTTATGATTTCCAAGATGATATTCTTCATATCATGTCTATAAAGTCTCTATATCAAATTTATAGCATCATTTAAGAAAAAGGAATTTCCATAGATGTGTTTCAGTTGCAATTTTTTTTGTTTGTTTCATGCAACTGAAAACATTTGTTTCTAGGGTTTGGAATATTGTAGAAGACGTAGGGTGAAAGAAAATGGTAGAACAATGAAAGAATTTTATTGGTGAAATTATAGAAATGTCCACTATTGTAAAGCATTGTCATCATTTTAGTACATTTTCTCTTAGCAGTTTGGCATTTTATACTTTAAAACTTGATTTACTTTAAAAGTTGTTTACAATGCTTTGTAAATTATCTTACCCAGTGCCTTTAACCTTGATTTGATACATTTATGGCCTCAGTTATTTTATTACATCCTGTAATGTTTTCATAGCCTAGGAGATATCAATTTCTTTTTAAAAATTGTATCAATGTGGTTATCTAAAGAGGTAGCAATTTGCTTTGGGAAAACAAGTAGGGGTTGCCTTTGGAGGTCAGGCTTCTTAGTTCATTCAAAAATATTTATTGGATGTATACCACATGCCAAGCATTTTTAGCCCCCCAGTCTACAGTGAACCAATCAGGCAAGGCCCTAACCATTTGTCACATTCTGTCTAGATGGGGTGGGGTCGGGAGCTTAATTAAAAGAGATACAGAGAAACATGCATTTGAAGATAATAAAGATAACTAACATTTGAGTTTCTGTAAAGATAAAATAATAAGTATTGAGATGAAGCAAACAATAGGTTAGAAATAATATTTTGCAGCATTGTAACCTCTATTTGACTTATGAGTTTGAGTAATAGTTATAAATAGCATTTAAAAAGCCTTAATTTTTCACTTTTCTTTTTGGTAAAGGTACGTTTACTTAGATTGTCCATTTAGAGTAGTGTTTAACATAACATCACTGTGAAAACATTACATATTCACAAGAAAACTGCACATTTTTTATTGTATTTTATAATGTACAAATATGTTAGGCCTCCATCTTCAAATCACTGGTGTTTTAAATTTGACAATGAATATGAAATTACTTTTAGACTTACAGTGATTATATTGTTACTAAAATACTTAATATTTTAGGAAGGTTGGGCCTCCATCTTTTTTTGAGTTAATATCTAAATTCTCATTACTTAATAGCCTCTGGTAAGTGGAAATAGTACTCATGCAATTAAATCAGTATATGCTTTCAAGAATTTTTTTAAATTTTGTCATCGTTGGGGTTAAATTTTGGCCTGATGTTCACTTACAGTATATATTAACAGTTTATGAAGTGAAATAGTCTTAAGTATGATGTATGATGCACCTGCATATAAATGAAAATGGTGTGCACAAAGACACTTTATGGGAACTGTACTGGAAGATTTCTGAAAGCATGTGAAATTGCACCTAAAATTGTGTTATTAGTGACTATAAGCAGCAATGCTTAATTTATTGTACTTGATGAATGAATGTACTTAGTCTAGTCAGTTACTTTATTTTAAATGTCTAAATAGTGTCTTTTTTTTTTAATGCATTTGTAATTTGTACTATTGGGGGGTATTCTTGGACTGCAGGGGTTATTGTCAATGTGTGATTTGTGTTTTTATTTTATCTAATGTGATACTGATTTTTATAATTGATATTTAGATAATTCTAATAACTGTATATTTGACAACCTATTAAAATGTTTTACATTGGAGCTTTTTTTTTCATTAATTGTAACATGCTAACAAATTCATAGTGGTTTAAAAATAACTCATTCAACAAATACTTGAGTGCATGTTATGTACCAGAAACTATAGGAATTATCAGGGACTCAAAGATGATTAAGACAGGGCATTAGTAGGAAAAAGCACACACATTGGAAATGATAAAGTAGGAAAATTTAGAATGAATATTTTTTCTATCATATGAACTAAAATCTTTGGAATCAACCTAGTAGAAGTGGACAATAGGAGAAACAAATTGACATGGCTGTGAAAATATATACTATAATTTTAAAACTTAAGTAGGTAAGATTTTTTGTGTGTGTGTATTTGAAATTTCATGAGTTACCTAATCAGTGACCAAGTTATTCTTTTCATTATTAATTTTAAAAAGGGCACTGTTGAATACTTTCTCTTTTACCAGGCACTATATTTGACTTGGGAGATTTTTAAAAGTTGAATAAGATTCAGTACCTGTTCTCAAGATGTGTACTGCCTGGTTAAGAGAGAAAACCATGTACATGTGGGAGAAAATGTTACTGGAGTTAATAAATTGATACTTCACAATATCCAGCTGGGTTGTGAAGAGCGGGGACTCCATTCTAATAGCATGCAAGAGGTGGAAGAGCGTGATTCATAAGATCATAGTGCTCAAGAAGCTTGTGTTGAATTCCGCTTAATGCCTGCTCTGTGCATATGCTATGGGGAGGAGCAATACTATGT